GATGCACAAGTACCTTTTCCATTAATGAAGTAGTAAAAAAGTGCATATACCTAAGTAATAATCCATAAAAAATATATTATTCATAAAAATCTTACACTTTTTTCACTTCATATTTTAACAAAAACGTCAATTAAAAGGAAACATCAGTTAACAGTTATTATGCGTTAAATGACTTAAAACAAAACTGTAATTCCTCTAGATTCTCCGTGCCCTCGCATCTGCGCGTTCTGCTTGCACCGATTTTTTTTTGGAAAGAAATTTTTTAAAAATCACACTACAGGTTTTCTGTTCTGGATAGAACTGGATAATAAACTTACAAGTTTCAGGACGTAGTCCAAACAGACAGTCAACATTCATCGTCTGTCCGGTGCCCAAGTTCAAGCACAGCCCATCCAATGTTGCTGGGCTCAGATGGAAGATGTATTCACATAGCGATAGCAACGACATATGAATAGCAATCTAAATGCGCATTTCTCAAAAAAATGTTAAAATCTAGGTTGATTTTATTAAAAAAAAAATAACTGCGTCCGATCTGATGAGTACGACGGAAATGTGGTGTTGAAATTCATATAAGGGGTTATGTATATGAGTATTAAATGGGGTGGCGATGTGGGAGGAGATAATATCTCGAATCCTGAAAGATAAATGCGTATAAATTTGTATGGAGGTGGAAGGAAAGGGAGGGAGGAGGGTGGAAGTTATTACCTTGAATAATTAGAAAATAGAAACAAGAAAAAAATATAAAAGCATATGAAAAACAGCTGACTTGACTCTCAGTGAGGTGAGACAGAAGAATTGCCTGTTACGGATATTGGAACATATTTTAAGAGAGAATTTTGTCAGTTCTAGTTTTATTCATTGAATTATCGATAATAATAGTTCCACAATGCCAAGGTGATAGAAATTCTCTTATTCCACAATGCCAAGGTGACAGAAATTCTCTTACCTGTTTTCGAAGAGTATAATATTGAGTTGCATCATCATAACGAAGCGCAACCCATTGTGATAGTGATTCCACCGGTAAAATATTTTCCGAAGTAATTTCTCGGTACACATCCAGCAACAGCTCGTCTGTAGTCGGAATCAACTCATTCGCTACGTAATCATAATACCTATAAAATAAAATTCATTTTACTGATGATAACCAAGATACAAATCGTAAGAAAAAGAAAACAGCGTGTTTAAATTTAAACTGTCAAAACAGTGCCATCGCCAAAACAATCCATCCACGGCCATACCAGCATCTCTTTCCCACTTTTTTTCAAACTCCTGATGAAATTTTGCATCAAACATAGCTAATTTTGCCTTTGCTCATTCTTTTTCCAAAATACTTCACTTTTTCAAGAGAGACACTAAATCGGTATTCCTTTTTAAGAGGCGAAAAGAAATCGCCACAAAGTTGATCACGAGAGAATGCAGCACTGGTCAGAGCAACTGGAAAAGTCGTCAGTAGGTTCAGCTGAAAAACCATACTACCGTTTGGCCCAATATTCCAAAATATTGAAAAAAGATTAGTTTTTTGATGAAATCGCATGACCCACGAAAAATTTTTGAAATCCAAAAAATACTTGGATCATCAACATTCAGAGAAATGTTGAATTTTAATCTGCAGTTAAAAAAAGACCAGCAAACGTGAAAAATATGTTATTTTTTGTGAAAAATTATCTTACTTTTTGATTAATGCGTTAGGCGAAGGGAAGTCGGGCTTGTTTTTGAGGATACTATTTAGAATGCCGTGGAATTGGAATAGTGAGTTTGGCTTGCTGGGGCATTCGTACAATGATACGCCACCCAAACAAGTGAAATGCGGGACCGAAAGTTGTAAAAAACGTCGGCTGGTTTCCTGAAAACAATAATTAAAATACAAGAATCAATAACACTAGAAGATTCAAAAGTACTAGCAAGAATATCTTAGTACTGTGTACCCGTGTCACAAAGGATCTTTAATTCCTGGTCCAGGATTCGCATGCACAATCTTAAAAAAATTTTTAAAGGCCCGAAGTGGCTTAGCAAATCAGACATGGCTCCCACTCCTACCTGCATGCACTGTTCGGTCTGTGTATACAGCTAGGGGATGAAACACAGACTGCGTCATAAAATGTCTT